TGCAATCCAATCCCAACAGAATGACATTCTCTTTTATGCAACTGCTCTAGCTTGATTTCCTCCTTATATATACTTTCTTCCTATCTTTTGGAGTATATTATGTATAGCAAATGATTTCAAAATTTGGGGACGAAATTTTTTTAAGGTGGGTAGATTGTGACAACCCGCCCCTAATTTTACGATTTTTATAGATTTTAATTGAGTGAAATTACAAAAATGCCCTTGAGGCAAAGGTGTTGATTCTTGCTTGAGCATCATCTTGTGCCACATGTGTGGCTGAGATGGAAAGAAGATGAGAAAAAAAGGAGGGAAATGAGAGAATAATGGATGGAAGAGAAGAAGTGGTGGGATGCAAAAAAAAAAAAAAAAAAAAAAAAAAAGGGAGCAGGAGAGAAAAGAAGGGAGATGGGTGAATCGGGAGATGGGTGAATCGGGAGAGGAGAGAGGAGGAGGAGGGACCAATCAGGGATGAAAAAGGAGGAAAAGGAAGGGGTAGAACACCGGCTAACCCGAACCCATTTTAACCCGCGTGACTCAACCCAGTTACCTTCCATATTTTTCGACAGCCTCTTGATCAATTTTCTTGGTTAATCACGTCAAAATCTCACCTAGAAATGACTCACCATTGTCCCACCTTCTAATTCCTTATGAAATTGAGCCATTTTGGCTCTTATGTCGTGAAAAATCAAAGTCGTGGCTTTGTGAGTGCAAGGCAGCGATTTCCCGTTGCGACAAGCAGCACCGATAACCACCATCCTTATTCAACTTCTCTCAACCTCAGGAATAAGGCCCAAGCAAGATTGGGGGCGTTGGAGTTTGAATTGAGGACAAATCAAAGGACACCCATTTCTAGGGTTTTGGCAGTATCAAGGGTGATTTGAGGCGTTTTCTGGTCAAATTGGACTTGGCCACAAGTATAAAACTTGCTTTACTCGTTGAGATCTTCATTTCTATAAAATTTGAGAATTTTTGGAAATAGTTGAATTTTCCGGCGAGTCGGGGCGGCGCATGGCCTGAGACCCAACTTGACCATCCTAGGCTAATTTTATGCCCCGATTCCATAATTGACATCCATTTAGTGAAATCCTGATATTTTAATATAGTTTTGTAGTGGTCATGTAATTGGCCGCCACTTGATTATTATATGAATGGACGATCTGATCGTTGGATCGGCACCAAACCTTAATACATGATAGTATGTAATATTTGTGGATATTAGGAACTAACGGATCAGGAATTTGACGTACGGATCTTTCCAGATGGGTTTTCTAAATTTGTAAATCTAAATGTTAGCACTCACTTGATTTCATGATTGGCGGAGATCCGACCGTTGGATCTCGATGAGATTTTAGTATGTAGTTTTAGAAGCATAGTGTGGATGTTTGGAAATTACGAATCATAAATCTAGGTGCAGATCTTCCGGATCGAGTTACAGGGTTGTGGACCTTACCGTTGACCTTTCACCGATAGTTGACTTTTGGTTTCAAATCATTCTAGAACGTCCTTGGGGATGTGTTTTATGTAAGTTATGTGTTCTATCGATAAGAATTCTAAGACGTGATTTGATATTTGTTCTAGGCGACCATCGTTCGTGACGCCTTGATATTGTGCTAGGGAGTTGTGGTGCGGACTTCAGGTGAACGAGTCTTTTCTTTATATATATATATATATATATTGGTTAGTTTCCATATATACAAGCATTAATAAATTCTTTATGCTATTGCCATAATTAAATTAATGTTTATAAGAAATACCTTATTGTTGGGAAATGATCAAACAATTCTACGGGATGCACATGTAAGCTTACTATAAGGAGATGCCTTGATTATATTTATGGTCATGAATAGTATGATGTTGATTATAATTTTTGAATGGCTGTGGTATGACTATATTGATGTTATCTGCTCATCATTGTTGTACCCGATGTTAGTGCTCGCCCAGGGCTAGGGCCAGTCTTTCACGTGTATGTTCACATCCGCACCGCACGCTCGCTTTGGATCCAAGTAGGTGCCAATCATGTTGTACATGTTGCAATAGGCAACTCCGACATCTTGTCATACAGGTTACAATAGGCAACTCCGACTCGTATGTGATCGCGAATAGCGTCAGTCTTCACGTGATTGTAGCACTAGAGCGTATATTATGATTACACCCAGTCCTGACGTACAGGTTGCATTAGGCAACTCCGACTTGTGTGTTAATATAGATTGATGAGCATCAATCCAGTTGTACATGTTGCATTAGGTGACTCCGACTTGTGTGCTAGCATAGATCGATGAGCACCTGATTTTATTATGCTATTGTTGTGATATTGTGATTTGGTGTATTTCTGGACTTATTGTTGTTTTACATTTGATTTCATACTTATATGTAGTATGACTTTCTGGAAACTATACTTGTTTTATAGCGAGGGGTTACAGTGTTTTCAGAAATGTTTTTATAAAACTTTATTTTCAGGCCTACTCACCCTTATTTTTCGCCCCTCCAGGTTTTATTGCTGAGCTTACGTGTCGACAAGGATTCTTGACATCTTTTTTGAAAAAAGAGAAAGAAAAAAAAATCCATATTTTAGTGTTGTATTGATTTAATTTGATTCGGTGGGTTGTTTATGAAGGACCTTTCTTCTCTGCCCTCCTAATTCCCATACACTCTCATCCCCTCTTATTTTGTGCAGTCACGGTTAAGCCACGTCAATAATTTATATTGATTTTTTATAGAGATAATAAGACAAAAAGTAATAGTGATATAAAATGTTGACGTGACTTAACCGTGACTGCACAAATAGGAAGGGATGAAAGTGTATAGAACAAATTTATTTACCTACCTACTATTTGAAATGTTCATTTCTAATGATGCAAAATGTTCATTACCTAACTACAAATTAATTTCCAATAATTTACCTACAACAATTATACCATGGGTGTAATGTAATATCTTTGTTTACAATGATACAAAATATTGTATGTACCAACAACAAAACGTGCCTAACATAAGTACTTGTACATGGAAAATAATTTACCTATAACAAAAGAAATGCAGTTTGATGTATAAAATCAACAATATTATGTTCCACTCATGTTTATACAATAACAAAATGTGTCTAACATATATAACAATACATAGAAAATAATTTATCTACAAGTTAGAGGAATGTTATTTGATTCAAAATATATAATATAGGTGTAATATTTTTTAAAAAAAAATAATTGGAACAAACTAATTTACCTACCAATTAATATGGGTAAAATTGCTACAAAATATATCACGAAAAAAAAAAACTACTTTTATAGTTTGACATGGATACGGTTGTTAATGCAAACACTTTTTACATTTTATTTCACTTTTTCTACTAGTTTTAATTTGGCATAAATTTAGGAATTTGGAAAAGGGGCCATAAAGTATGAGTGGCACGAGTGTAAATAAATTGTATTAATAGGTCAATAGTATTCCCATATGTTTGCAAATTTTAAATTTGGGCTTAAATTGGATCTTTAAAGATAGATGAGTTTTTATCTAGAAATAATGAGTTGTAAGGGCCAAAATCTAAAGCACCCATTATATTATAGTTGTATCACTTCTCTAATAGAGGTATGATTCACCAATACATAAAAGTTCTATCTTTATCAGAAAAATAATATAAATATAGTATGAAAAATGTGACTAGAGTAGTATTTTTTTATATCAGCCAGCCAGTGGAGAGGGGATGATAAATTATATTTTCATGGTGTAAACCCACCAATTTTTAAGAGTTTCATCTCATAGTTCAAGGAATTTGCACGATGGGAAGTGGATTTGGATTCATCCCGAATTTGATTATTTATTTAAGCTTCTCTTATTTATATACGTAGACAAAAAAAAAAGTTATTAATTATACTAATTTAAAATATAAAATTAAATTAAATTAAATTCTTATACAATCTTCTTCCACCTCTCTCTCTCTGCATCATAGTTGTCATGAAAATTAGGGTGCCACCCTGGTGACACTATTTGTTCATTCGTGCGTGTTTTTCATTTTTTGATTAAAACTTTTACTTTTGTCCGTCTCAGCATTTTGACACTGACCCCTCTTTGTTATTAAATCTTATAGTGCACCTTCATACAACAAACACGTAATAAAGTCAATATTAACATGATCATATTCCAACAACCATAATTAACTGATGAAAAAGATAAACACATATAATGATATAGAATTGGTAATACGACCTATTTTCTAAAAAGTAGACAATGCGGTTCTTTTCTCCAATAAAACATGCATGTTTTGGTTTTATTCTCTTGATAGAACACCACCTTACATTGCATATGTAAAAGAGCCAAAAAAAGAGAAGTTGACATTCTTCAGGGTGATTTGATTAAGATTCAAGAGCCAAAACATTTTTATACCATCTTAGGTGGCATCTGATGTAGATAGCCACATCATTTGAAAATTTTGCAAAACTCAAGAAAACGGAGGAGAAAGACTCCTTGTATATCACAATCATCATTTAATTAACTAATTTTTCTTAATTATTAGTTTATTAAATAATAAACTAAATTTAAAAATCTAATTAATTCAAATGATGTGGTTGTCCACATCAAATACCATCTAAGATGGTATGAAAATGTGGTACAAAAACATGGTATGAATAACATTACTCATAAACTGAAGGTTCTTTTTCCTTTCGAAGTATATATTCTCAAGTATGCATCGTCTCGATTCGATTCCTTGAGTTCATCCAACTTGGTCAACGACAGATTATAATGCATTAGCAAAACAAAATCTAAACTGATTTTGTACACTGAATGATTTCAAGGAAAATCCACAACCAGATATCAAAATATGGATCTAATTCCATATATTGAATTATTTTGTAAGATATGTCTCTTTGCTGGCTTTCCAGCTTAAAACTTATACTTCTTAGAAAACAAAACTTATCAAGCAAAGTAAAAATCCCGACTCAGGGCACTTGCATGTAATCTCCAAAAAATAACTAAAAGATTTACTCCTAAGGTGGCATCGCTCAAACGTAGTAGCCGGTAAATGTAAATCCCCTTCCTATGATCTCACCGCCGCAGAACCAGGCGAAGCATTCAACGCCAAAAAGAGCAACAAGGCCAGCATTCTCCACATTCAGCTCCTCCTTGCTTTTTATTGCATTCTTGAAATGGCCAACTTCCTTCCAGAATGCTTCGTAACGAACTGGAATGCTGCAGAGAAAAAATTACGAGGAGCAAGTTTAAAAATCTGATAATTAAATAGCAAATTCTAATGTGATCCAGTATCTAATATGATGAAAAAAGCAACAAAATCTCTGGTCTAATGAACAGAAGATAAACTCATCTGATTATTATCAAGATATGTTGACGTTGGGTTTTCAGCAAAGATATGATGGAACATCTTCTTGTAAGTTGTGAGTGTCAAAGAACATGTGCTCACTATTTCTTGACATACAGTAACTTGGTCAATCCGAGTTAATAGTTGAGAAAATTATGGAGCTTTATTTGGTTAGGTTAGGAGTCCTTGTTTAGTGCAATTAATTATGAAAACCTTATTTAGTTGACAAAGAATTTGTTACCATTTAGGACTATAATGAAATCCTAATTGATTTGGAATATCCCTTTAATCAGTTAATAGGCTGGATTAAAGGGATGAGTGTCTATATATTAGGAGGTCCCTGTACTCACAGAATTATCCTATTCTAGTGCAAAACCCTATTTCTGTGCACAAGGACTTTCGGCTGCTAGAGTGTAGAAGTTCCTCCTTGAAACCCTAGCAGTCATGGCTTCTTCTTCCTCCGCTTTGGAAGATAAGTTTATTTCCCTTTAATTGTTTGATTGGTTTATTGTAGTTATATTTGTTATATCTGTGATCCTAGTAACTTGTTGATTTTCATATTACATCTTACATGTGGTATCAGAGCCACACAACAAGCTTAGGGTCCAATATAAAGGTATAAGCAAAATAATTTGTTTATAGAAGACTGATTCAATTGTTTGTTCCATGGCGACTCCATCAGAGCCACCCAACGTGGCTAGGGTTCTTTATTTTTACTAAAGGAACTGAGGTATATATTTGATTCTGGTTAAATTAATGCTTCCGCTATACTCTAACCAATTCTTCTGCAATTTCAATTGCATGATGAATAATTTCATGGTATTCTTCGAGTTGTGTTTGTTACATTTATGCAGAGAATTACATCCATTCAGAGTAATGAAAACACTTGGATGATCTTGGTTAAATGCTTCCGCAATCTTGAATGAGTTTGTTGTAAACTTGCTGCATATTTCGCACGCATCAAAACTGGTACTTTGCATATTGGCTAATTGCTTCCATCAGAATGGCATCAAATAGAAGGAGTATCAGACTTCAACAAATGAAGTAAAACTTTAGGAATCAATATCATTTATCTATCACTAAACGACTTGACAAATAAGTTGATGATTGATTTTATTTTGGATGAACCATGTGAGTGTTTGCTTAATGGTTCTTGGTTAGAGGTTCAACTAATTAACATAAGCTTGAGACGCAAATATTTTTCCGGCGGCTTTTGGCTCTATTCGGCGTTTTTCATTACAAATTCTCCCATATATGACTACTGTTTTGCTAAAGAAGTGAGTTTTCTCAGGTTTCTTTGTCTCCTATAAACCCTAAAATTATATATATATATATATATATATATATATACATACATATATATTGGTTCGACTAATTGATATGATTCTGGTGTTTTTTCTTGTTTCCGCTTATTGCCATATAAACTAGCCTTTAAATTTTTTAAATTTAGTAAGTTTGCTTGTATTCATATTATTTTGAGTTGATGGATCAAATTAATCTTATGGATACTGGTTTCCTAGGTGAGCCATCATAGAAGATTTTATCGGCTTTCATGCTTGCAAATTTTGAGTTACAATTGTTAATTAACATGTTATAAAAGGCATTCCCAATCTGTTTGTTTTCGATGAACCGATACTGGTGAAACTATTTGCAACTTATGTATATATAAACAAATTATTGTATTATGAAGGATTGCTTGCTGTCATAATTTTGATGTGTGGTTAATTACATTATTATGAATTGCTTTCAGTCAGTTCGTATTGGGGTTTTCAATTTTTTTAATAAATTGATTCATTGTGGTGTGATTTATTTCTTGCTAAACTTTTGTCAAAATTAATCATGCTAAATTATAGTCCTTCCAAACTATAATATTATAGGGGTATGACTCCATTAAATTCTCATTAAAAGGAAACCCATTCATGTCGATAACCTGGGCTTGATAGACTTCCATAACTCCAAATATTTTGAAATTCGGTCATGTCGTAATATTAAATGGATTGTAGACGTTGGTATCTTTCCACGTTTTTTTTTTGACAAGAAATGGATTTATGGTAAATTTTTAAGAGTGATACCATGTTGCTGGAACTCTGCGGATTTCTACAGAATAGTTTGTTTGTGATATTATTTTGATATATCAATGTAACTCATAAATTCATGAAATTTTAGTATGATATACATTGAGATGTTGTTTTTTTTTTTAAATATGAAAATTTTCACAAGCATTGGTTTGAAAATGAATTTTTGGTGAATTTTTGATCTCGAGACTGTACTGAAGAATTTATGCAGTTTCTGCAGCACATTCCATTTAGATTTTATTTTTAGCTCACTTGTAAAATCGAACAAACTATGGAATTTTGAGTGATAGTAAATATATATGTCTACTCATTTCTGGAAATTTTCATGCACATTGGAGGAAGATTGAAGTTTTGGTGAATTATTTAATCTCGGGTATGTTTTGCGGAATTTCTGTTGTTTCAGCAGCACAACTTACTTCGATTTTGTTTTTAGTACACTTGTAAAATCTCAAAAATTATGAAATTTTGGGAATTAACAGTTTTTTATGTTTTCTTTATGTCTGAAAATTTTCATGCATATCGGATGAACAATGAATATTTTGTGAATTTGTAATCTCAGGTCTGTACTGAACATTTTCTGCAGTTTCTGCAGCACCTCTCTTTTCGAATTCATTTTTGGCTTGCTTAAAAATTTTAAAAAATCATGAAATTTTGTGAAATAGTAGCCATATATGTCTAGTGCATACCTAAAAATTTTCATGACAATCTAAAGAGAATTGAGTTTTTAGTGAATTTGCAAACTAAAGTAGTACTGCTGAATTTTGGTACTTCAAAACTAGTTTTGTTATGTGATATTGTTTCACTGATTTGTGCACATCTATTGGTACCAATTATCATACAAGTTTATGGTTCTAATATGTCCTTATTTTATGCAAATTATCAATACTAATGAATTTTATAGACAACACTAATTAAATTTTGATTTAAAGATGTATGGGTTTGTTTTGTTTAAACCAATGTTTTGTTTGGTCATCAATTTTGATTATGATGATAATTGTCTTTTGAGAGAAAATTGGAAAGTGGCATCAATTTACTAATTGATCATTTTGGTCCCTATCGAATAACTGAATAACCATGTTTCCTCTTTCGAGAACTCTATTGTTCAATGTCAACAACGACATACTTTTGTGTCTGATTGAATCTTTTGAGAATCATTGAATATCCAACAAAATGGTTATTACGGTTCTAAATCAGAATTCTAATTTACATGGTGAATACTTTTGTCCCAGTGGGAATTTCAAGAAATCACTCACCAATTATAAGTTAGTATTATAGCAAATCATAAAGTACTTCTAACATATTTTCATCTGGCCAAAGTTGTTGAAGCTATATGTATTTTGTGTATTTTATGTTTTAGCTAGTTATGCAGGTATTTTCTTTGCATGATTAGTTTCTGCCCAAAGGTGTAACAATCATGCAATTTGCAATTGGTTCGATCCTCCACAACTCGACTACATCCATGATGAATCTTGCAGAATCGAGAATGAGTAGGTAAATTTGCCAATCTTTTGCCTTAATTTTCTGTGAGTTCTAAATTGGATTAAAATTATTGTTGAAAAATTGATGTTGTTGAGATATCTATGTGTTTACCTTAATTCTACTTTGTTTTAGAATTAAAACATAAATTTTGAGTTTGGATTCTCTTATTAGGTTTCATTTTAATTTATGACCTAATCTTTAACACATATATGAGTCTTCTCTCATACACTAAAATAAATTTCGTAGCCATTTGTTTATCTAATCACTTGTCACTTTTAGATCGATTAATAATGTTGAGATATTGTTCCTTATATAAGCCTAATTTTTGACACATATAGATTGGTTTATTCTGTCCAAACCAACTATTTTGTGACTCAACAAATTTGTTTAAGAAATTTTAATGTTTTGGGCATATTAAAGATTGTAAATTGGTTTTATTTAAATTATGATTAAATGTGAAATTTTGGTAGAGCTTACACTATCTTTATTGATCCAACTAGCCTATATTTTGTTATATGAAACCCACTGTCTCTAGTGTTTAATCTTGCAATTTGGAGTGTTTGCCCAAGTGGGAGAAATAATATATTATGGGCTTCACACTCATCGATTTCTGCATCCGAAGATAAGATGTAAATCATGATATTTGTTTATATTTTATTTGTTAAATGTAACTAACCTTGCAGGAAATTTTACTTTGAATCACTATCGTTATTTATCAATTTTGAACTGATAAATACAATACGACCAGATTCATATTCATGAAGGATTAATGGGTACATTTTGCTCAAAAGTGTTTTACTTATTAATTCTTGGTTGTTGTTCAAGAAATTGAACTTGTGATTTATATGTTATTGATGAATAATTAATCTGCTCAAAAGTGTTTTCTTATTCAGTACAACTATAAATCAATGTATAGTGAAACATGAAATTGACAAGATTGCATATACTTCATCTGCTCAAAAGTGTTGAAGCTATATACGTTTGCCCTTGTATTTTATGTTTTAGCTATGCAAACCTAATATAATCAGATTCTGTCCAAAGATGATTCTGGAATTATATGTTTTTGTTGCAATCAGAAAACGTTCCGTTAAAGTTTTCTATTTCTGTCAAATGTTAGATGAACAAAACGGACCAAATGATTTTGTATAGTTTTTCAGTCACAAGAGTCACTTCCCTAAAGATATCTGGAATAAAGATGTTGAGCTCACAAATTTTATGTTTTAGATCCCATGACTAATGTCTTGCTAATAGGAGTATTTGAAAGGTATCTGTTTCATTTTGTAGACATTTACAAAGTTTTTTTTTACTCTCTTAATCAGTGGGAGTAATAATAATTTATGTAATTTTGTCTCTTTTAATCAGTGGGAGTAAGATATTACCTTTTGTGTTTAAAATTTGAAGTGTTAGTGACTAATATTTTAAGAGTTTTTGTTTAAGTTTTGTTCATAAGTTTAATAAGAGGTCCTAATTTTGTAAATAGTATGTTGTATGTTACTTGTCCTCTTATCATTTTATAAATTGACAGAAAATATGAGCCATGCTTGCATGAGGCTCAGTTCAGGAGTTGATCTTTTGCTTATCAACCTGAATTTAACGAATGATGTCAGGCAACATTGTGCTTGTAATTTGATATTTGTGGTAATAGAGTAAACATGTAGAAGCAATTACATGTTATTTTCTATGATCCAATATTTAAACTACTAGTGACAAGTTGTTAAAGGTATAATTGCAAATTTTGGTGGGACTCAGTGATCACCTACCACTTAGCCAAATAAGGATCATGTTCTTGAACACTCAAGTGGGAGAATGTAAGTTGTGAGTGTCAAAGAACATGTGCTCATTATTTCTTGACATACAGTAACTTGGTCAATCCGAGTTAATAGTTGAGAAAATTATGGAGCCTTATTTGGTTAGGTTAGGAGTCCTTGTTTAGTGCAATTAATTATGAAAACCTTATTTAGTTGACAAAGAATTTGTTACCATTTAAGACTATAATGAAATCCTAATTGATTTGGAATATCCCTTTAATCAGTTAATAGGCCGGATTAAAGGGATGAGTGTCTATATATTAGGAGGTCCCTGCACTCACAGAATTATCCTATTCTAGTGCAAAACCCTATTTCTGTGCACAAGGACTTTCGGCTGCTAGAGTGTAGAAGTTCCTCCTTGAAACCCTAGCAGTCATGGCTTCTTCTTCCTCCGCTTTGGAAGATAAGTTTATTTCCCTTTAATTGTTTGATTGGTTTATTGTAGTTATATTTTTTATATCTGTGATCCTAGTAACTTGTTGATTTTCAGATTACATCTTACACTTCTAACACACGGTCACGATCCTACAGTTATTGTTTATCAGTTCGAGGATGCCTGTTTTAGCCAAACGTTTCTTAGCTAGCCACATTTTGTACATAATAGTACAACCTTCGTAGTTTGTAGTAGTAAAAGTTAGTGAAGACTCAAATCATAACGTGCCAATCTTAGAAAAGTTAGTGCAAGATTCAATTCAGCGTGCGTTCCTGAATCGTATCCAAGATCACAAAGAAGGTGGTACTAGTACTGCCGACAGCTGAATTGTCGGAACAAGAAGTTTGCACTGATCAAGTAGTTACAAGAGTTCATAAATAAAGAAAAGGAGCAAATGCAAAACCTGGCAAGACGAGTATAAAACAGTTGTTTTGCTAATGTTTGACATTTCTCAATGGTGGGGAGCTCCTGGACATGGTGCTTGTTCTGCTCTACCATCTGCTTGTAATATGTTCTTCCATTCTTGAATAAAATGTTTGACGCCTGAACCAACTTCGGTGGAAACTTTGATGCCATGGATACGAACCTAAAAGTAAAAATGGCGCATTAAATCAAACAACTGCAAGTATACTCAACAACATCGTGATGATGCAAGACAAAAGGAGAAATTTCGATCAATATTGTACTCCAACACTATCCAAATCCTTTGATCATGATCTCCCACGCCAAATAAAAATACTTGAACAACGACAACCAAATACTTGTGGTGTTCATGCTTGTGCCCATCAAATCGTTGAGGACAATGAGCGCAATCCATTGTAACAGAACGAAATAAACTCTGGACAGTTTCTGAATCAATCAGACAATCTTCTCCAAGAAAAACTTAGCGACTTTTGAACAAGTACTCAATCTTGAACTCCAAGTTTAAAATCAAATTGTAGGGTCGATGATCACGGTACACAACAACAAACCAACACAACCCGCATTATTCCCAACTCATTCAACACTCAACGTGGATATTCAAATTAAAATTATGAAGACAGAAAATTGATAAAACACCTTGAATTGTCTTTGGGATTTGGAGTGAAACAGAACCCTAAACGCCCGAGGAAGAAGCTGATCACTTGGCTACTATTTCGAAATTTATACTGTAAATGTAATTCGATATTATTTTCCTTATCCCATCCTTTTCCTTTTCTTTAATTATTAATTATAACTTATAAGTGGGTTGAATTTTGTAATCAACTCAAAAACTAACCGGCCGTGTTCATTTTATTTTTAAATTGGACATGTAACCTAATTCGTGCATGTCCTCAAATGCAAGATGGACTGGCTTTGGGTCCAGGATGTGAGTCCGAAACAAGATGGAGGTGCGTTACAAAGTCAGTCGGGCTTCTCTTCTCTCTCACAATCTCTCCACACCTCCTTCCGCCGATTTCATCATTTCCGAAATTGAAACATGACTACTTTGATTTTTCTGAGATTTAATTATGTTGCAAATAAGGGGTAGGTTTGTCACATAGCGAATTCGTAATGTGATGTTTGCTAATCAGTTAACTGTCTGCGAATTCATATGCTAATTTCATCTTTGCTTTGCATCTTGGAGGCCTCTTGACAACTGGAATACCTGATTATTCAGGACGTAAGTGCCAAGTAACCGAACAAAAAAACAAAGTGCACAAGAATGGCACTTACGTCCCGGAAAATGCGAGTATTCCATTCGTCAAAAGGCCTCCAATCTGCAAAGCAAAGATGAATTTAGCATATGCACTCCCATATGAATTCGCAGACAAGTAATTGATTAACAAACATCACATACGAATTCGCTGTGCCGAACCTACCCATTATTTGCAACATAATTAAATCCCAGAAAACTTAAAAATTGCAGATAAACTATGAAAAATATGGTATAAAATCAAATGGGCAAAGATTAAGGAATACTCCTCACAAGTCTGATTAGTCGCGTGATGAGATTAAGAAAGTAACATGTATGAGCTTATTACAAGTCATTTTATTCGACGTGAAGCTCAGTGACACTCCTCCCTCGGCTGCTTAGGGTCGATGCCAATTGTCGTAGGCAGGAGACTTGTCATTCAAGAAACACAACTAGAGGGTTGCGTGATAAAACGAATTCATTTGTTTCGTAAATCAAAACTGAAGAATTTGAGGCCTTGTCTTTAATCCAATTGAAGGGAAGCTTGTTAATTTTCACTTCAAAGCACGGCGTGCGTTCGAAATAATAACTTCCAGCTAAATCTAACGGAGTCCGACAGGAAAAAGGGAAACGAGGCTAGTGAATTGAACATCAGAACCGGGGTCCGACAGAAAACCCATGTATTTTCAAAGAGAAGCCTAAAGCAAACATTTGCTTTGCTTTAGTTTACAGAATCTCGAAGCTACAATAAATAATAAACATCCTTAATGAAATTTCAAGCATGACAAAGAATCAATAAAAAATGAACTGCAAGTTTCAACAGCTCTAATCCCACCAGGATTTTTTCAGTAAGGAAAAGAAAAGAAAGGAAAAGAAAAGAAAAAAAAAAAAAAAAAAGACACTAGATTTTAGCTGAAAACCTAATGGCAAATATTGAACATCCTTTTTAGTACTTGTTGCAGGAGAGCTACAATCACATTTTCTTCTCCACTTCAACCCAACACAAATTGCAAGACAACACCCCAAACATCTTCTCCTTCAAAGAAGATGAAGGTGCGGGCAAAAAAGATAACGAAATAAAAATGGAAGCGGGGTTGGGAGGGGGAAGAAAATGGAGACGCTACCCCCTGGAGGAACAAAATGAAGTTGCTTCTTCCTTGTGAATTCTGTGAGAGCCACTTCTGGCCCTTGAGAATGAAACCGTATGCAACAGGTTCAAGGGGGTGTCTTGAAATGTCAGAACTAATGTGGCCTCCAATTGACTGGTTGGTGGGAAAGCAATAGAAACCTTCTCCAGCAGCAACCTAAAAAGCTAACCGAAAACACATTTCTTGTTGGACTGTCCTTATGCATAGTACATGTACAAGCTGTTAGCAGCAGCACAGGCTATTGAGTTCTCGGTAGGATGCCATGCCAAGTGCAGCAACTTTGTTGTGAAATCATAACAATTTCCGTTTGCATCAACCCCGGGGATTTCTGCTCCTGTGATAGATTTTGCATGGGGTAGACAAATAATATTCTTTTAAGTAAATTATACCCAAAAGAGAAAGGCCAACAAACCAAAGAATGTTCAGTGTTATCAAGTCAATGGTAAATGGCAAAGACAAAGCACTTACCACGTCTGACAACTCGTGTTATGCTACTGCTTAGGGACCTAGAAGGCCTAGAAGGAGTCTGAACTTGTCGCCTAAAAAAACCAGAGAATACATTATATAATCGTCAAAATTATCCATAACCTAAACTCCCGGTCAAGCTTCCTGATGTTATTTGAGTTAAACTTACCTCATTGGATTTTTGCTGGCTTCTAAGGTTGTTGCCTCAGTACTACCAGTGGCAGAGCCAAATACACGGAATAGATTGCTGAGATCACATTAATACATATTAACAAAACCCCAAATGATTTTTATCAAAATGATAGGAAACAGATACAAGGCACCAAAACACACCTGTACGAGCCCGTTGCCACTCGCGACCCATCACCACTCAGACAACACTCAAATTTATCGAAGATAGAGTCGTTCTCATATAAATCACACAGCTGGATACATTTAAACAAGATAATCAGGCTTAAGCCCATTATAGTAGGCACAAATTACATGTTCACCTTTCGTTTGATGACAAGAATCTCACCTTAGGTCTTAAATATTCATGAACCTGGAAGGTTTGGACCGGACCTGAATCCATGTTGATGTCCCATAACTGACAACCATGTGAACCAGTTCAGATAAGATAGCAGGGAGATAAAGATCCCACACACATCACATTATGGGAGAGCAAGACTTTATAGTTTAAGCAGCTACAATTTGACAGAAAAATCACACTACGCCATCAGATATCATGCTGAAGTAGTTAGTAAAACTATCTAAAGGTATTATCTCTCCTCAAATAATTAAGGAACCCCAATTTAGGACATACTTTGGACGTCTAATTTCCCTTTAAAATCATTTGTTTTTTGGAGAGAAAGTGAAAACAAATAAAAAAATTTTGCCACACCATCAATGCCAAGATCTCAGTTTTATGGGTAATGGAAATGTTAGGAAGGGTGCAGTCTTGGGTGAGGTTGTAGTTACTAGTTAATCACATTAATAATCCTCAATAGTCCTTTGAAATGGTCTGGGTTCATGAGTGTTATTGTACGAGCAACCTTCTACATGCATAACAAGTACACCCAGAAACATACAATAGACTCAAAACTAAGTAGAACTCAGAAAAAGAGCTAATCATTGTGTGTGTATCTGCAGGGCACGTATGCATGTGCCTCTGCTACCATTATTTCAACACCCAATAGCATCTACAGGGAAATAATTCATTCAGATTTCCGTATACTTGTGAAGGAAATGGTTTGAAGGCTTAGACCATATATGTAGCTTTCCAGACACCTAATGTATATATATAATATCATTTTGCCACACTATATCATTACACAGTTTTTATGATAAGATAAAGCAAGTGAAAACCAATATAAAAAATAAACAAACCTTAAGAGTCATGTAATCTCGGCTAAGTATATATCTTCCTTCCTTTCCAAACTTAATATCTGAGATTGAAGCAATAATCTCTGTGAAAAATGATCTAGCACCAGGTGCCTCCGGTTCCTCAAATCTGCACACAAGATAATTTAATAACAAATCATGTAGTCTACAAATAACTGATGCTATTTTAACCAACATGTTGACAACCAACTAATTATTGAAGAGAATAGTATTTCCCTCTCTTTTCCCCCCGTTTAATAAACGGCAAGAAAAAGGTAATCAAAACATGTCATTCATCTCTCCAGTTTGCACTTAACACCCTTACTCTCTTGTCCCCCTATAGTTTTCGTGGTAGGTGGACTACAAGATGACAACAATTAAATAGAAAGACAAATGCTTACAATTTAGCATGAGAATCACACAAAGCGGACTGCCGCAAATCAATGAGTCGAATGGAGCCTTTGGAACTGCTGTAGGCTAACGTATTGCAATGGGTAGGGTGGAACTCTGCTGATGTTATCACCTCTGCAATAATACAAAATGGGAATTCAACAGGCATGCTAGTATTTTTGAACATCTAGCCAATCTTCAGGGCCGCAACAGTAGCACCGGAAGATGTAATACCGGAAGAAATTAAAACTTCTATATTTTGATCTTTTTAAACAGAGTCCAAATTGCAATTATTCCTGGGTACTTGAAAATTTGAATCTCAAAAAGCCCTCAGCTAGATGCACGAAGATGCACAGATGTGTCCCCGCACACATTTTGAAAATTATGGACTTCAACCCAACTTCAAGCACCATTAAAGTACTTTTTAAACAAGTTCCACTGAAACTTTTTATAACTTAAAATGTAAAGCAGAAAAAGAAAATTTGACTATGACTGGGAATATGAATATATTAATGAAGCTTACCGGTTAAATCTTCCATGTTTGCAGGCTTCACATCAAC